ATCTTTATTGAGATCATCTTCAGGGCATGGGATTTACAAACATTGTTTACATTTAACAAATACATTTAGGATGTTGAAAAGTGAATTTATACAATGCAAAATATATTTTTTATATTCAATCAAAGTATTTCTACTCACTCAAAGTGTTTGTCTTCTGTGTAATTGTGCCATTCTTGTGTGTCGTGTTGAGAGTGCCAGTGAGATTTTGCTGTTTTATGTTTATTATTATGTTTAGCAGGTAAACTAGTTGATCCTAGATATAAAAAAAGCTAAAATTTGAATAAATAACATCACCCGAGTGATCTAACGTAAGTCTTGGGAACATAGGCTTATTAAATACCTTTGGGTCATACTAGTTTCGCTATATTTTAGATTATGCTGTATAGGGAGACGAATTGACCTTTGTGGTGTCTGCCGACGTCCACATGTATGACTTTACTGGTGTAAAGCCACCGTAAATGTGCATGGTGGTAATGGCAGAAGATGAAGTAAATATTCGGATTGTTTTATTTTCACTTTGGCTGCCTTATTCAAGGAACAACTTTGTTTCTAATCTTTACGGATAATAAGATTTTTTGGAAAATAACCAGTTTTCATCTAGGGTCCACATTGGTTGCGATATTGGGAACATCGAGTGTTCTTGAAGTGTGGCTTTCGGTGGGAAAGCCGAAATTGTGGTTGGTAGTCTTTACTGGCCCAATGGCCGATTTGTTTGGACATTCATACCATTCTGTGTTAACTTCGTAGACAAAGTTGCATAAAGGAACAGTAAAATTAGTATAAACAAAGAATCCAAAAAGGGGTTAATATTTCAGTAAGTTTTGACATTTGACCATTATTGAAATCACAAGGAATTTTGACTTCGTAGCGTTACAAGTTTTTAAGATTCAATTTATACGTTTTTACATTTTTTATGTTTATTTTAAAACAATCATTCAATAAAATATAATTTTTACTGACACCATGCAAAGAGTATAAATTTTACATAAGTTTTTGTTGTTGGGTTAGTGTTAATTATGAAAATTTACAAAAACATTTCTTTGCGGTTTTACAAATTTACTACCTTGCACAGGCATAAAGTCATTATTCTATTCTATAGGAGTTTTTCCTCCATAAACAGTGTTGTTGTAATTTTATAAGAGAAAATGTCAAGGAGAGCAGCGATACTGAAAACTTCGGCCTCGAAAAGAAAAGTAAAATCGAAATAACACAATTATAATGTATTCCATGTATAAACTGTTGTATAAGATCTCCTAGGGTTCTACACTTACTTATACACCCAGACTTCCTAAGTCGCACCTTCAAATTGTCGGGCTAGAAGGAAAAGAAAAGATACATAACAGTCATCAGTAAAAGTCATGCGAAAGCCAAACATTGCGAAACCGTCTCCGGTCTGTTTACGCCAAGAAGCACCCGGGGGCAGAATACGAAAAACAGTCCGATTATAACAATTTTTCCTTGTATCCTTTTTAAATAAGACCCTTTCGGATTGTCGGATAACGATCGGTGAAGGAACAAGCCGGCTTCGGGTGGATTGCGGATGCTGCATGGCCAAGGTTGGCCGTTGTACCAAGTATGGAAACTTGCCCTAGCCAAGTTCAATGCTGGTATTCATCACATGTTGAAAATCATTCCGTGCCAAAGGCACTTTAGCCAAAGTTTAACAATTTGTGTCGGCTGACGAGACTTAGAATATTAATTTAATTAATCCTAATTTAGCAGCTTTTGCTTTCTACCTTCAACCATCGTTCTTTATTTTTTAACGTGTTAAACACTTTTACTTGACAATATTTTATTTATTTAGTTTTTGATTATCTATCATAATTTTGAACCCCTACTAAAGTATATATTGCTAGGCACATTGACTGTGTCTACTCTCGTTGTTTTTCCCCTTTGAATCAAACCCCAGGGATAAGATCTAGCTTGAATTTTAAAAAAACTATATTATCTTATATTGATAATATTTTTGTTGTTATTTTATTCTGTAGGTTGTTATTAAATTAAATAAAATTTCAATTGTTTTTTTTTTTAACGTTAAAGGCTAGGCATTTTGCAATAATCCTACAAAATACACAGGATATCCAGTAAACTTCAATATCTCAGGAGGTTATCCTACATGTCAAATTGGATTAAGAATCTCTATTGTCCCGAGTCTGCTTTAAATTGTATTCGAGATACATGAAGTTCCCTCATCTCATATAATGGTAATCTTTACAGATTAAAACAGTGGTAAAAGCATTGAAAACCATATTAGATTCATTTGTTTTTTTTTGTTTTTATTATAACCTTAAGCAACAAAATACAAAATGACATAGATATAAACTTTTACGGTTTTCAAAGTTCTTGTCAAAAGTTTAAGTAAGATTTTTCGTTCTGTGGGTATTGACAGATATGGCGCTCATAAAATATTCCCCCCTAAAGTTTAAATGAACTTTAAGAAATTAAGTACCTAAGTGTACAACTCATTAGTGGATGCAACTTTTCTCTAAGCGCCATATCTGTCTATATTACAGAACTAAGAAAATTTTACTTAAACTTTACACAAGAAGTTTAAAAGTTTGGTCTAAGATTGGGAAAAAGTTGTGAAAGGTTTGAAATAAGCTAAAAAGTGAAATATGTCGAATACAATTGACAATCAGACTTTTGACAATAGCAAATTTTGAGTCAAATTTGACATGTAGAATAACCTCCTGATCTATTGTTTAATGAGTGTTCCACTATCGAGCTAGATTTTTATTGTTTCTTTTTTTCTAAGTTTTATATTAAATAAGTAACTTTGTACCTTTGTTGTACTGTAACTTGTTTATATCATTGTAGTTTCTTTGTAATTGCATTTTTTTCTATCACTATCTAAGATAATCTTGGATACTATAAAATTGTTATTAATTTGTTGTGGGATCGTTAAATTTGATTACTCATATCACATAGAAAACTTGAATTATTTCTGCGTTGTTTGTTGTTGAAGCTTGCAACCGATGATCGGCTTCTTATAATTTTATTTTTAGCCCCCCCAAGAGTGTAGCATGTAAAGAATGAAATATACCCACAACCAATAAACTTCGAGATGCTAGCAATTTCGCGTCTCGGGATAAATAAAAACGTCGATTTCAGCGACGTTTTAAACGATCTACAGTGGTTAAAAAATAATGGCTGTGGGTTTAGAGAAAATTGCGAAACCCCTTTTGCAACACGGTTGCGCTTTACGTGGCCTGAGAATGTGCGGATCGTCCTTGGATCAGCTGTGCCTAGCGATGTGAGTGCAGTCGATTACATACAAAGCCTCGCCCAATTCTCCTCTATTAAAGCTGCCTTTGAACCGGAAAATTGCCCAGGTCTTAAATGTGCAAAACGCCCTGGCGGAGGGTGAAACTGTCATTAGCTGCAGGCTATGAAGGGGGGGCAGTCACAGCACTAGGCACCCCCTGCTGCTTCACCCTCGGATCACAAATCACTCACAAATGATATTGACAAGTACGGACTTCTTTGAAAAACCATTATCATCCCTTTTATCTGGTGTATGGACTCAAAAGCAACACAAAACAAAAACAAATCTATTTTTCAAGTAATATAGAGATCAATTCTCAACATAAAATTGTATTTATAATTTATCTAGCAAGAAGAAAAGTAGTTTTTTCATATTTTGTTAGTTGGCTATCAATTTTGTTTTGATATTAAGATTTTAATGTAAAAGATTTTGTTATTTTCAAGGTTTTCTATGTTTCTAATTAAATCGTTATACAAACTATTTTTTGGAAATATATTTATCAACAAGGAAAAGTTGAATTTATTTTGGGCACTCCCAACACGACAGGCAAGAATGACACATGTACACGGAAAACAAACGTTTTGAGCCCTGAAGATGATCTCAATAAAGATCGAAACGTTGGCACGATAAAGAAAATGTTTTTCTAAAACCTACGTCACACCAGACCGCATCTCACGACCTCCAAATAATCCTTGAATTTATTATTTTATTTTAAATATATGTTTTTTGTTTGTTTATTTAGCTACAATTTCGTTGTTTTAACGTGCACAAAGTATTACTTTTATTCAAGCATTGATTTTCTCCCCTTTTAAATTTTTATTTATTTTTGAATACGAACATTATGTTAATGGTCCAAAATGTATCTTTTTGCAAAGCATTTGGCTTGTTATTTTATACCTTCCTCAGCGTTCTACCCAAGGGAAAACATAATTATTTTAAGGGCAACAATGTTTGCAATGAAATTTTTCATTCCATTTATTCATTCTATGTTTAATTGTGTATTTATTAATTTTTCTCTAAGTTCACCGCAGACCCCAGTTTGGGAAGCCCCGACTTACCTTTGCTGTAATGATACAAAGTTGAACTCTAAAAGAAGACTTTTTTTCGGTAGTGAGTAGTCTCGGTGGTAAACAGGTCTACCGTAAATTTGCTCAAATCATGTCATTTCGCCAAGTTTGCTGTTAAGATTAGAAAATGGTAAAAATGTATTTTTACATTTTTTGTAATGATCCTGCAAAGCTTAGACTTGCATATAACTATTGCAGATATGTAACTGTTAAAGGTGATTTTATTTTTAAGGTTTGACCGTGGAAAATGGTTAAATTCAGCATTCTAGCGTGTATTTACTTAAAGTATGGTAGGGTCAGATTTTAACGAAAGTACTAAAGTGATCTTAAGTGTGCAAAGGCAAACAACCCGTTAACTCCAACATCGCGGAACACAATTAAGAAAATAACACACAGAAAAAAACCAATAGAATTAATCATTCAACAAAATACATACCGAATATGACCATGATTGCTAAAGACATATTGCATAACTATTCTTCAAAAAAATTTTTTGGGATCAAGTAAAACTTGCAGATGAAGACGTTTTCACTGTCGTAGAACTGTACATTTTTGCACCCAAGTCGCTTGCTAGCTGCTGAGTATAGATGGCATCACTGGCCAAGGTTCCTTCATGCTGCAGAGCGAGCCACAAGCTAGACTCGTTTCTGCTCCGTGCCACCAGGACCAGACTAATGGCCTTCTTTCATTGTTACGTTACTTCACGTACTCTGTGTTTGTTTACATTTTTTCCTTTCAAATTTAAAATGTAAAGTTCACATTCTGCTAATGTTACTTGAGGATATATGCGAATAACTGCGGCCACTTCGTGCGCTGCAGCCAGAGGAGGTATGATGTTGACGTTTTTGCTTTCATCTTCTGCTGAGTTATGCGTCCAACGGCTTTTGCTGGCAGCCCAAGCCAAGAATCAAACTTCAAAATTTTAACCACAGTTGTTTACATTTTATATACATATAATTACGCTAAAAAACCATTAAAATATATCCCTGAAGTCAATATATATTTTTTAAATAGCTTTAAGGACATTCTAATAATGCAATGCATATTTTACTTTAAAATCCTAAAGTAATAAGTTCGGTATAAATAGCAAGAATCAATCCAAATACTGTGGTTTGGTTATTTTCAAACATCTTAGTCTGTGTACTTTATTATACCCATTGTACCTATGTATTCAACTTTTGAAGCGGGTGGTACGCTGATATATTTGTACATCTGGTAGACAGGATATAAATAATGTAGTACTTTTTAAAAGGATAGTTCCTACTCACAGTAAGTTGTTTTGCAACGATCCGGATTTCGAGCCTTTTAGCTCATCATAAGCTCGGCGTTGGCGGAGGTATCAGCGGTTCACTTTGGCAATTCATGTCGAGAGACGTGGTTGTAGAAGTCCTTCAACCTGATGATGAGCTAAAAGGCTCGAAATCAGGATCGTTGCAAAACAACTTACTGTGTACTTAGTAGGAACTATCCTTTTAAAACGTATTGAACACCACATTCACTCCATCATTTATCATTTCTATAAATAATGTAGTTTTCAATGATAATTTTGATCTGACAAGACCTAAATGAACCTGTAGTTTTGTCTTTATCTGTCATCATGGTCTTCCTTTCCTTGCATATAAAAGAACATATTTCACGAAATTGCTCAAATACCAACCTTTGAGGATGGTGGAATGACAAAATGATCTGGCAGACTAGGATGACTAGAAACCGCCCAGTTAAAAATAACCAAGTTTAGTAGGTTCCTAACATTTTGGTCTGTCAGAAGTGTGAAGGATTTTTGTCATTTACGGTGGTTGTTCTGTGTTATTTTGTCAATTGTAAATTTTTGAAAGGATCCACTTCTGAAGAAGACCTCAACAGCTAGGATAAGCAGATCAAAATGATCGTAAATGACCGGACAACTGAATGAATAATGAAATAATCTTTCTGTTTATACCTAACACTGAGATTTTACTGGGAAATGCCTGTAATTGGGTGATTTCTAATAATCAGAAATGACCAGTCTATAAAAGGTGGGCTGATTTCTGTATAAACATACCTATACACTTTGAGGTCTGTCATGAAATTAACCGGTAGTTTGGACATTTCCGATCATCATAGTAGTCTGTCCTTGCAAATAAAAGAACACTCATGCGAATCTTTGAAGATGATGGAATGCTGAAACCTTTCAAGGATCACTAGAAACAACCATTTGTTTTTCTTTCATTTTGGTATGTCAGACTGGTTTCGATTTTTGCCCTCTTCTGTTAGTGTGTTATTTTGTCAATCGTGCTTCTTTGTATGAACCAGAACAATTTGAATGTAGCCAAGCTACAGAATGTGGAATGAGTCATTCTTTTTATACCTAAAATTGTTTATCTTAAAAATTGGTAATGGTTTTAGCTTTTGGTTACATTTAGATGGCTGTTTCAATTGTTCTTACACAATATATTGTAATTGTAATCGAATATAACCAAGCTATTGGCTTTGAACTCCACAGATGAACAAATAATCATCATATTTGTATAAATACTCTGACATCATCACAAGGTTTGAGAATGCAAAACAAAAAATTTTAAATTTTATTAACGTGTTTTGTATGAACTGAATGATTCTGTTGTTTCTACGTAAACCTCGAGAACCGCCAGGAAATGATGTGTCAGTTTGGTCATTGCTGATCATTCTAGTTACCATACTTGCTTATAAAAGGATATATTTCAAGAAAGATACATCTTGAATTATTCTGATTTTTATAATTTAATACTGTCATAGTGTCTCTTTGTAAGGATCAATTTCTAACAATTCCCTTATCAAAACAAATTTATAGGTCAAATTGATCAAAATCAGACATCACCACACATAACTGGAGAAGAAATAAATCTATTTTGTTTACCCACTTTACATATAGTCTCTGGATGTGTGCTCCGACATTTTCATTAGAATGTGCTGAAGTAGACAAAACATAAAAAATGGAAAATTTTATTAAGGTGTTCATGGCAGAAATTTATAGGTCAAGAATAATTTTTTTTAACAGAATACGAAATTGTACGATTTTTCCATGAAGTCTGTAGGGTAAGCCTGTAGTTTTTAATTTTGAGCTTTCTGCAGCTTGGTTGGACATAAAGTAAACAGCAAAAACCATTTAAATTGTAGAATTAAAGTTCCATAAAACATGAGTTTTCTTATTAATATTTCTTTAAAGTATGCTTTAATAAGAGTTGCTACTTAACAATTTTTCGAGGTTTGTTGCGTTTTTATGGTGGAATTTCATCATCAAAAGTTGAATATCAATAAAGGCATTATTGATTTTGATAATGTTTGTGAAGTTCAAAATTGTTTAATAGAAAAATTTAAAGGATCAGGCTGGTTACTGCCCTTTGTTCGCACAGGGGTCTGGGAATGTGTTATAAAAGAAAATTGAAAAAGTGGCTGAGCCAAAAATGTCTATTTTCAAGAATGTCTTTAAAATTAATGCACATGGGGCTGTCTTTGAAATAATTTGACCAATTTAGGCTTTTTATATCAATGTATTAAATACTCAAACAATAATTGTTCCAAATAAGAAAAATGTTCTTACGGTATTGATGGAATAAAATTGTTCTTTATTTGTTGAGGTTTTCTTCATACAAAGGTATTAACTGTGTTGGTTTTGTAGGTGTGCTTATTATGTCTGACTGGGAACATTCTTTACTAAGTCGGGAAAAGCTGGATCGGTCTTCGCCAGAACTTTGGCCCGAAGCTAGTAAGTATATCATTTCCTAACAAATAAACTTTGAAAGAGCCGAGAATCTGTCACACCCAAATCCATTTAAAAATACTAGGAATTTTACACATTATTTATTTTATTTTTATGAATTGTTTCTGATAGCAACATGTGTAAAACTAAATGTTTAAAAATATCTAGAGCGGGTGTGCAAGAAATTGTTTGTATTCTACAAAACTGCTGGAGATGTTTGAGGTTTGTTTTTGATTCATTATTATTTTTTCTTTTCTTTTATTAATTTTTGGCCAGTCAAACAACACATGAAATTTGCTATCAATTATGTTTTACTTAAGGTTTTAAGTAAGCCATTTCTTGCTAGATCATCTACATAATTCTCTCCAATAAATGTTGGGTTATTTCAAAAAATAAATAAAATATGTTTTTATTCGCTAAATGTTCACATGACTGATTTTTTTGTTTTTATCATTTTAAATCTATTAGTGTTAGCATTTTTATATGGTATTTTGTCACTATTCCAGTTCCGGGGGTCACGGAGTATGCGGCCCGGCATTCATTAACAATAAATAACGTTCCAAAAGAAATAGAAGAAATACATTATTTCGATGAAGAAGACTACAAATTGATAGAACGTAAGGTTTTTTGTTTTGCTTTTAATTTTTTGTATTTCCACAGAAAAAATTTATTTATATATTTTTATTTTAGACTATTCAACGATTTCCAAAGAAGCTCTCATACAGCAAGTGAGAATGTTGCATGACCTGACGTACAAACTAGGACTAGAAGAATCAAAAGAAATGACAAGGGGCAGGTTTCTGGCGATACTTCCAACCAAGCCTCCTGGGAGGCGGAAATGAATTGTTTGTCTTATATCTAAGTGCAATAATATATTTTTTAAATAAATGAATAAATGATATTTTATATAATTTAATATGTTTATGTATATAATAGGTAAATTGATTAAATTGTGAAATTGTGCTTGTGCAACCATTAATTATTTTTTTGTTAATTTCTATTGAACATATTTTGACTTTATCTAGCTTTGTATCTATTGTTTGAAATTGCATGTGTTGCGTCCTATTGTGGGCATTTTTATATCCTACAATTATTTTTACCTACTAACCTCAAGATTTTATGATTAAAAAGAAAACATATTTTTTTAATGTAAAATTCGGATTTTTCAAAATGTTTGAACAGTGTGATGATATGATTAAGATATTTTTTGGCCAATTGAAAAAATTCTATATTTTGGACCCATTCATTGAATATTTTATTCAAATAAAAAAGTAAGTAAAACTTTATTTTATTATCTGCATTGTAGAGTATCACACTTGATTTTATCTATATATGAATTAAAAGAAGACTGTCATATCATGTTTTTTGGCCATCTGTTGGTTGTGAGATTTCTTCTTGATATCCACAGAGTAATAACCTGTTGCTTGGTCATTTCCGATAATTTTGGTGCAATGGAAGTGCCTCAGCACTTGGACAACTTCGTGGTCGGTCTTCATAATCGATCACAACTAAAAGACGATGGCTGCAATGTTTAAGGCATTGACACGGCACTCATCACTATAAGATAAAGTCCTCGGTTGGATTCGAAAACAGCAGCATGAATTGCAACATGTGTTTTATTCCCTCACTGGCACCCTAGGGGATGATATGACCAGCTGTTGTGAACCCCGTAAGAAAAAAGTATATACATCAGTTGAACCCCTTAACAAAAAGTTTATGGTTTTTCATGTATCCATCAAATTCTTATAGAAGATTTTAACACAATTACCTGTACAATTGATGTTTGACAAGAGGAATATTTCTAATAAGTGGGAAAAATTTGTTTTACTAGTTAAACCAGAGGAAGATGACCAATGATTTACTGCCAGTACTGTTTGCTCTTGGTGAACTACACTACAACTTTTTACACTGACCTTGAATAGTTACTTGATTTTGGGACAGTTTTTCTTTAAATAGTAGCAAAAGAGATGACGGCTGCTGATTAGAAGAATTTGGCAGAGAAGTAGGATTGTATTTTCTGAAGCCAGAAGAAAAGCTCTCCCCCTCCCAATTTCAATGTTATCTATCAATCTATGAGTTCAATTATTGATGTTCAAAATGCAATGTAGTAAAATTGCTTTTGCCAGAAATAGCACAAAAACTTTGAAGAAATCAATTTTATTTGGTAAATTTTTTCCTGTATATAAATATCAGAACTTAACTGTAATCACCAAAAGGTGGCTAGAGGCAACGAAATAAATGGTTGACATGTTGGCCAAAGAAGGAGGCAACATGGACTCAGGTTCGATGTGTCCTACTGGGGCTTAGCACCCTGCCACAAAAGGGGACACATCTTAAAATAGATCCTTGATGAGTACAAAATCTGGTGGATCAATACCACAGGCACGCGAAGAGATTGATAGAAGGGTCATCCGCAAAACTTACAAAGAAACGTGGGAAACTGCAACTGAACCAGTTTTCTGGTTGGTCTTCTGAGGGGGGCACTGCCACTTAAGAAAGGGCATGCGCTGGATAGTACAGACTGAAGAAACACTGCAGATACTGCCAGGAAGAGGAGGAAACCGCAGAACACATTTTATGTTACTGTGAAGGTGTATGTAGGTGCAGGTTGTTGCAACTATGACAGGAAAAACCACAAGCAATCCTACACTAAGGAGCCACTGGCAAGGCTATGGAGGTTGATTAACAACCTGAAACCAGCCAGTGAGTTATAAAAAACAGGGGAGCACAATAGATCTACTCAGGTCAAGGTGCAGAAGGCCTTGTGCTTGTGGCCACCTCTTTTAACCGTATCCCTATCCCTACCAAATTGTATTAATTTCAACCTATATGATGGAATTTATTTAGTATTATCTTTGGTAGAAATTGTAGAAAATAAAATGGTGGATGTTTATTTATTCTGACCTAATATATAATTTTTATTTTTCATTAATAGATATACTTAAAAAAATCTTGTACATTCACGATTTGTATTGTAATAAGGTATATATTCTGTTCTACAATGTGGGACAAAGAACAATTTTGATTCCTTAGTGGTTGCTGAGGCACATGTAGTAAAATATAAGTTTTTGATATCAAGGGCCCCATTCCACAATTTCCAACCCCTACTGAGATCAGCAGAAGTCCGGTAGGAGCTAAGTGACTCTAGAGCTAGGCCAGGCCAGTCCAATCTTTCCAAATAATTCAGATCTGCAAGACCCAATCAACAAGACCACACGACACTTGCAAATTCCAGATGGCTACGCACACGGGATTGATAATAATAACAGTATTTATCAGAAACATATATACAATTAAATTAACGTCTTGATTCCTTTTAAAAACAAAAAAATTTCAACATACAAGTTTAGTACACTGATGTGCAACCTTCAACCCATTCCAACGAAATGGGGTAGTATGGTATGGTAAAAAGGATACTAGGAAGCGCGGTTTGCGCTCCCCAGGCACTGCAGCCTTTTGGCTTGTATCTTCCTAGTTCCTTAGTTCAGTGAAATAGACTGAATCCTTCCCCTTAGAAGTATCAGGTCATTGACTGTCGCTGCTGCAATTTGAAAATTTGCAATTAAATTTGCTAAATTTTTTCCATATGTTGGTTAAATCTCAATTGAGCTGTTGCTTCGCATTCAAAGATGATATGGGTGGCTGTTTCGTCCTCATTACATAATCTGCAAGTGGGATCATCGTGGTATATACCCGTTGTGTAGATGTTTTCTCAGATGCCAGTGACCGGTTAGTAATCCTACCACTCTGAGTTTGCTCTCTCCAATTACAGCAACGCTTTTGCTAGTCTTGGTGAGGGTTGTTTCATCATAAGTTTACTATGTCTAGCACCGCTAGAGTTTATCCACTTCTCCTTTTGTTTGGTTTGGATCCATTCATCCCAAGTATAGGTTCAGGGCCTATGTATGGGCTTGCAGATCCTCCTGTGGCCAGACTGTGTGCTTTCTCGTTACCCAAAATTCCCCTGTGCCCTGACATCCAAGATATCATCAGGTTGTTGTGTTTACCCAGGTTTTGGAGATTTTGGATGCATTCACTGACTAATTTTGATATGATTGTTTTACACGCTAATGCTTTAATGGCTGCTTGGCTATCAGATCTTATGAGAATTTTTTTGCCAGTGTAACCTCTTTTAAGATTTTCCAGGGCACAAGCATTGATGGCATGTATTTCCGCTTGAAAGACCGAAGTGTACTTCCATAATGAGTTTGATTGCTCATGTTTTGGGCTTGTACAGAAAACGCCTGATCCGGTTCCTTCGTTTGTTTTGGAGCCATCTGTGTACCATATCATTGTATCTGATGCTCTCCTGTGATCTTCCTCTCCTTTATAGTCCATTGAGGCTTTATAGGAAGTTTTGAAGATTGTTTCCGGGATCATGTAATCAGTCCCCATTTCTAATAATGGGTCTCTGATTTTGTTGATTATGGTTGTATGCCTGAATTGTTTAGTTCCTTTCTAATTTAATTGTTTCTGGAGCCTAAATGAGCTTTTCCTAGCCTCTCCTTGTATAAATATTTCCAATGGAAGTAGGTTCAGCAAAGTTTCTAATGAATTTGTAGGGGTTGTTCTCATTGCCCCTGTGATATATAGATTTGCTAGTCTTTGTACGCTGTCTAATGTTTGGGTAGCTACTTTTTGTTGAGCTTTATTCCACCAGATTAGTGATCTATAGTAACCTATGGGTTCTTCTGGGTCTTAACAAATTTGTCGCTTTAATCCCAGAAAGAAACTGCAAGTTGAAAAAACAATAAGATCCTAACCTATAATGAAGTTTATGTAAGGAGCTAAATATGCCATTGTACAAAGTCCTTAGTATCGACCCATTAAGATTCTTGTGTAGAAGAACTGCTGTTGAGCGAAAACAGCTCTGCATGCTATTCACTGAACTCACAGTTGAAGATATCACCTCATGTTTATTTTGGCAATATTCACAACACCAGACAAAATCAAGGTCCTACAAGATAACTTCATAGAAACGAAAACTTTGGAAGAAATATTCCTTACAAAAGCTAGTAATGGAGAAGTGGTCTACAAGAACAAGGCACTGGTCTATGAATCATCTGCTTTTGGAAAAACCAACTGATGCAGAACTTCGACCTATCGCTTTCATCAAAGCCCATCAGATATCAACAAAAAGCTGAGAAATTACAATCTAAGAATTTCCCCAAATGCTTTTCACTCAAAAAAACCAAACCAACAACAACTCAGCAGTTCCCAAATTTTTCTGTTTCCAGTGTCCCAAGTAAAAAAAAAAATTGGTCTATCGCAGCATGAACATTATGATAATGGAAGTAATTAATTTCCAACCCAGAAAAGCATTGATTAAACCTCTTATTTTGTCTACAATTTTATTTAATAAATAACCAAAGCTAATGCCTTTCTTGTGAAATTGAAAAACTTTGAACTTTTGAAAAGAGATTACGCATCTAATAACAAAATCAAAAAATGGATTTTTTTTTTTCTGGGGGGGGGGAATAATATACAATTGCATGCAATTGTAATATACAAATGCATTAGCATCCATATTGAGATTGGATGGTCACCAGAGTCTTGGTTTTTAGGGTTTTATGAAGGGGGAGTTTAGTTTTTAGGTTTTTTTTAGAAATATAAAAATAATAAAAAAATTTATAGAAAATTTTCCTGGCTTCTGCAACGCAAAAAAATCAGTAACACACAGCTATTTCAGGTAAGTTTCCCAAATTTTGTATGTTTCGATTTTTTGGTGTGCTGAATCCAACGAAACTTTTTACGATTGTCCACAGCAAACCGTACAAATATGTGGTTCAAAATCCAAAATTGGAACCAATATTACCAATAATCACCATTGGCATAGTTTTATGTTTTTCTATACTCTGAATTCAATGAAACTTCTCAAATCGATTGGACCATAGCAAATTGTCCAAAATCATGGACGGTAGACGAATAACACACTACAACTGAACTACACATTGAAAAAAATAATCTGGCATATTGACTCAAATGGACTCACAATAATTTTATCTGAATAACTATTCTTCACACAGTTGAAACACAAACTTAAAGAAGATAAGATCAAATTCTGAAAACCTTTATCCTTATAACTTAACGCTGATCAGGAATGAAAAGCATTAAGTTGCTTTTATTGCAAGTAAACCAGCAAAAATCCCGTTTTCAAATATCCAAAATGAAACTTTTTTTTTCAATTAATTTCTGACTAAAAATTGTAAAATTGCGTTTTAAACAAAAGCTGAACTCAAGAGCTTCCCAATAGTTATCTTTTTAATTTTTTTAATACTATTTCTGATAAAGTAGTAAGCTGGCTTTTTTAATCGAAATTATTAAAATTTTGGCTTTTCATTAAAATTGCATACTTTCAAAAACTATCAGTGAAAGGCTTTCTGTAGTGAATGGTACGATTTGCTTTTTTCTGTCTGTGTGAATGGAAAGCAATTTTAATCGTTATACTGATCAATTACAATGATTTCTTATTCCAAGAATAATAACTAAAAACTTGAACTGACAAAATAACTAGTAACTATAATTATGTACCTATTATACAAGTCAACAACTTTTTGCACTTCGTCCGCAATGAAACAAAAATTTATTATCCCTTATAGATATACCTTTTTGTTAAAGAAAACGTTTCATTTTCTGATATCTGATTCGGTTTCTACACATACAAAACAATAACATACAATACTACAATTGTACAGAAAGTGGCCAAATTTACTGTACTTCCGAGTTTTTAGGCTAAATAACCCTATTTAAAACGGTGCAAACAGGCAGCAATGACAGCTGAAAACCACAGACATAACACTTCAATGTGTATAGAAGCGAAAAAAGACGGTGCCAAAGAAAAGAACAACGAAGCTTTTTTTGAACGCCTAAAAAACCGAATATTGCTTGTTTTCCCTAAACTAATCCACCCGGTTCGATCCCAACATTGAATTTTTGTCTTTATCTAATACTTGGGTGTATACATAAAAGGAAATTATGGTGAACGAGATTTTAAAACGAACCGTTCATCTTAAAAATATTTAATTATTCTAGTTATGAAGATTTATTATTAAATTATGAAAAATTGTCAAAAGGGATCAGGCGTAGTAGTAATTATTTGCCACTAGGTAGCAGCAGGGTCATTGTTGAACGTGTTGTTATTTGTCTATGCTTCGAATATAATTTATTAATTAGTTTTACATCAATTTATATTTTTATGTTAATAAATTACATATTTTCGAATGATAATAAAAATATCAAATGCTTGTGCAATGTGTAAACTATTGGATGTAAAATTAAGTCAAAGGTTACTTCCCGCGACGGCGTGTTTCATTAAGAACTACATGTTCCTTGCGACGCAGTTTTCACATTAACCTTGCGCAGTGGCAATATCGTAATCAATGAAGTTCTACTGAGATGCGATTATTGCTAGTTGAAAACTATAACCAATACTCCGCCATTCTGCTGTGAAATACCAGTCGGAATAGGCAATTTTTGGAAGCCTCTACGGGGGCTCGCTAGTTCGTAACGAAAAAACCAGAGGCCAGTTTTGACTTAAATTGTATTATCTCTGTGCTGCTCATTTGCTCGATTACTAACTCTACGCTCTGCGATCCCAACTGTCCAGATTTTCATGGGGTAGTATCGAGTACAGTCGAAGACAATAGAACCGGACACTCGTTCATTTTTTATTCTAACTACGCGTATTATTGTCGTTATATTAATTCCAACATACTTTATGAATATTCAGAAATCGTGAGATGCGGTCTGGTGTGATGTAAGTTTCAGAAAAACATTTTCTTTATCGTGCCAACGTTCGATCTTTTTGAGATCATCTTCAGGGCCTGGGATTTACACTTTTACAGACATTGTTTAAATTTAACAAATACATGTAGGATGTGGAAGAAAGTGAATTTATACAATGCAAAAAAATACTTTTTATATTCAATCAAGATATTTCTACTCACTCAAAGTGTTTGTTTTCTGTGTAATTGTGCCATTCTTGCGTGCCGTGTTGAGAGTGCTAGTGAGATTTTGCTGTTTTATGTTTATATACGTTGGATTTTGAAGGGGTGGGGAAGGAAGTCGGTATAGATAAGACATTTTTGTATAAGGCGTGGGCTTCTTTGAGGTGAAAAGAGCCGAAGAAAGGAAAAAACGTTGGTAATAGTTCGGCCAGATTATCCTTTCAGGATTATATACACGGGGATAAATAGGACAAGGAAGGCTAAATTGTAAAAATTAGACCTTGTAAAAATGTTAGATGTGTGGAATATGATGAATGTTTTATATGTTATAATATATGTTTTGGGTGATGTGATAAGTATGTTATCTATATTGAATTTGACTAATGATATTGGCGTAGCTGCGACTGAGTTTACATGTGTCTGTTCTGTAATTGATGCTGTGTATATCTCTGTTGATGTAAACCATTTCTAAAAAGTATATAAACATAAAACACAATATCTCACTGGCACTCTCAACACGACACGCAAGAATGGCACACTTACGCAGAAAATGTGTACTTTGAGTGAGTAGAAATACTTTGATTGAATATAAAAATATTGTTTTGCATTGTATAAATTCACTTTTTTCCACATCTTACATGTATTTGTTAAATTTAAACAAAGTTTGTAAATCCCAGGCCATGAAGATGATCACAATATAGATCGAAACGTTGGCACGATAAAGAAAATATTTCTCTGAAACCTACATCACACCAGACCGCATCTCACGTTTTTCGAATAATCATCGACTAACGGTCACTAATCACCCCACATACTTATTTTAATATAAACCAAATTAACCGAGATCAAAAATTATTAGTTTTATTTTAAAAAAAAAATAATTTCTGTATGGTGATTAGTGATGTTTTTCTGAAACCTACATCACACCAGACCGCATCTCACTATTTCTGAATAATAATAATTTCTATGGTTTTGTAGAAAATTGGTCAAAAACACCGGTGTACCATTTTTTGATATAATGAATTGAACTAACAATTTATTATACGGTTTTGCTAATAAAATTTAACTAACAAATTATTTCATGGTTTTGCTCATAAAATTTAACTAACAAATTATTTCATGGTTTTGCTCATAAAATTACACCATTTTCGTGGAGTAGCGTCAGAACAGGACATTCATATTTTTTGTAGTATATTTCAAAGTAAGTACATGTAATTTCGTCGTTATATTAAGTACAACATTCTTATTTTAATGTAAACCAAATTAAACGAAATCAAAAAAATTTATAAAAATTATTTAATTATGATGGTTAGGAAGAAAATTTATCAAAACACCGGAATAACTTTATTTAAAACAATTAAGTTTAACAAACAATTTATTATATGGTTGTGCTCATAAAATTTAACTAACAATTTATTACATGATTTTCCTCAAAATAATGCATTAAGAACAAAAGAGGCATTCCTGTTCTGATTTGTGATACACGCTGTGTGACTGTACGTGGCGTGCGAGGACGTCGCATAGATATGCACACCCTACGTGGCTAAGCGTCGGGTAGCATCGGGTAAACGTGCTCCCGGCTTAAAGTTAAAAAAAGATCTATGAAGGTTATGCATCTAATGTTTACACAGTAAAAGGGCTCTAGGCATATGGTATGCTTCAAATGCCAAAGAATCGCTGAACTAGTTGGGACGGGGTGCTCGGTTATTCGCCGAGCAAAACAATATTCGGCGCTCGGCTAATTGTCGGTTTCCTTGCCCGATTCAGTGCACAAATATTCGTGAAGTAATCGAACTCAAAGCATCCATATTTTCTGGAACTAGTCTGTGCATAGGGGGTGTCCTTTTTAGATGGCCCAGCTGTATTTCTCTTGAACCAACGACGCTATCAAAAAATCCAAAAATGCATGTTTAATATTTTTTAGTAGTTTCAAATTTTTACCTTTTTTTGGAGAAAAATTATACAGGTTACCTCAGGTCCAGTTCAACTTTAAAATTGAGGAACTGAGCACCATTTAAATTATTTTCGTAGAAATAAGGTCCGATTAATTTATTTCCTTGAAGTACATATCAAATGCAGGACACCTTAGTAACTTTTATCTTGGCTTCATAAGGAAGAAGATTATTGCAGAATAGATTTACCCAGACGCAGTTCAAACCTGTTTTTGGAGCAGAAATTCTAGCGTCAAGGTGGTGAGAGGGAAAGACGCGTAAAAAACACTCAAATATTTGTAAATGTTCACCCATTCGACTATATAAAACCATCTTTCAGAAACTGCTCCATTGCGGAAAATTGTAATTTATGACTTTTTACGTTATAAGATCATAAAATTCTTATATTATTTTGTAAACTTGCCTGTCTCCCTCAGCACACGCTTTTCTTTTTTTCCACGCTTTGCTGTTCAAGTTTAATACATTTTTAAAACATTCTATCGTTCTGCGAATATTCATTACTTAAAAAAGACTTTTTTTACTTCTTTCTGCCTTTAATTTTCCAAATTAAAACCGGGATAGCGCGTACGCAGTCCCGACTACCAAAAATTACGCGCCCGAGATATCCGCATTTGGGATATTCGCAGAGGTCAGCCAAGCCGAAGTGCAATGGGAAGGCCTCACCCTGGGGGAACCGCCTTAGTGATCACGGTAACCCCGACGCCAGGTAAGTATGATTTAATGTGCACCCGGCTCAACTCTATACGACGGTGCTCTCAACGCCTGATCGGGAAGCTGACCTCCTTTCCCATTCCACATACCGATTATGGCGTTAATTCAGCCTTCTTTGACCAACTCTCTGCATATATCCCACACTTTAATATATATCAGGGTTATTCTGAAAAAAAAATGTCTCCCCATTGACGTCGTTTAGTGTTTAGTCTAAACGAAAAAAACAATTCGACAATCAGCTTAGTTCCTTGAATTCGTCGCTAGCTAGCGGTAGTAACACTTCAAAAGCGCGCTTTATACGAATTACAATGTACATACCAAATAGAAAAATTAATGCATGTAGTGTTTTATTTATTAATTTATTTAATTTAATATGAAAACCTAAATCTTAACTTCAATTGCAATGTAAATCTAACTAAAAGTCCTCTTTTATTTGTTATAGAGCTTTTTGACATGAGGTCATATTAAAGTTCCACCAATACCAGGGTTAGGTTTTTTTTAACCTAAAAATTACCTTTCGTGGATCAAAATAATTTAAAAAACATATTACGGCAATAGTGATTTCAATTTAAGTAAAAACCTCAAATACTGTGCATTACAAAGTATGACTTTTCTCTACATATTAATTTATTAAATATTATGCTGGGGTTTGTATCGAGTTTGCCTAGTTCACATTCTGGGAAAGTGAATTGCCAATTACACACCCCCACCACAAACCATATCTATTAGGTTTTAAGTTTATAAACTCATTGAAGGCTGTTAAGAAGAAAATGTTTTTCTGAAACCTACATCACACCAGACCGCATCTCACGATTTCGGAATAATTATTGACTAACGGTCACTAATAATCACCACACCATACTTGGTAAAATTCAGAAATCGTGAGATGCGGTCTGGTGTGATGTAGGTTTCAGAAAAACATTTTCTTTATCGTGCCAACGGTCGATCTTTATTGATATCATCTTCAGGGCCTGGGATTTACAGACATATTGACAGCAGATCTCACAGATCAAATTAAAACTACATTAGATACATTTAACAGCTTTCACCCACGCCTACAATTTACACATGAAATCGAAATCAACAAAAAAATACCATTTTTAGATACAATCGTAATAAAACAACCAGATGGCACATTAATCACCGATTGGTATCAAAAACCAAGAAACACAGATCGCTACCTCAACTTTACATCTCACCATCCTCTTAATACAATAAAAACACGGCCAAAGGGTTACTTCACTGAATGATTACCTTAAGCCATGAAACCTACCACCACAAAAACATAAAGATATACAAACAGATCCTCCATAACAATCTCTACCCCATAATTAACAGAATAATCAACACTAACACCATCCACTATTACTAATAATACTACATTTAGTCTATCAAATACAAACAAACCAGCTTACATTTCCATGCCATTTATTCAAAGTCTGTCACATAAATTAAGCGAATTTCTCTCGTCCGATAACTTCAAAATAGCTTTCAAAAATTATAAAACAATTCGAACTCTTTTTTTTTTTCAAAAATTAAAGATCCCACACCAATAACAAATAAATCTGACATAATCTACAAAATTAACTGTTTAAACTGTCCGGCAACTTATATCGCTCTTCCATCCCAATATCTGGACAAGAGAGTAAAGCAACATATCTATGATCGCAAAAACTCAAGCAAAATCCTACAGCACTCGCTACCCACCATTTTGAACACAAACACAATTTCGACTTCAACAATCCAAAAATATTATACACAGAACAAAACAAACACAAACGTAACCTTTTAGAAATGGTTTACATCAACAAAGATAAACACAGCATCAACTACAGAACAGTAGCTACTCCAATTTTGTTAATCAAATTCAACATAGATAGCAT